ATACGCAGGACAAGGTTTAAGTTCTGATTCACATATGCATTTTAAAATCACATGACAAAGTTCAAGACAGAATACGACTTTGCTCGCATTTCTTCTGCGATCGGGAATATTTGAAGTGGTACATCAAAAAATAATAATAACCTATAGCGTTATCATTAAATTGGTTCACGCTCCTAATGTGCGTAAACCATAAGGCGACAAATACATACATTCTCACTGGTAGTTGCCGCAACCCAAACTCATGTTTTAATTATGGGCTCTGCTCACATGTTTCGGAAATCAGTTTGCACTACATGTATATCATGCGTCGCTGTGCGGCTGCTGGTTGGGCTCGAGAGATACCCCGTAAGGCACAACGGAACGAGTGAGTTCCGTAAGAACGATTGGTGAACGCTCCTCCACCATATTGTTTGTGTCTGGTGTTAAAGAGCACTCAGTTTTATTGTGAGTATTTTTATGAACAGTTTTTATGAATTTTTATAAACAATAGTTGTTGAATAGCGAAACTCTACTCCCTTACGGGCGACGCCTCAAGTTGGTCGAGCGGCATTATAAGAGCTAGCTGTGAAGGGTTATATAGCCTATAATTCCCTCCAAGGCCCCGGGTTAAGTAAACATATGGCACATTTAATTATTACGACACATACTGACCCAGTTTGGACCTTCAACTTTTGATACCTAAATCTGCGTGATCATAACCGCTAAAAGATAAACATTTTCAACATTTCCTGAAACTGTGGAGGCAGAACTCCAGCAGCTGTGGGATACACTCCACGAAAACGGATACCCAGAAAGATTTTTCCTCCGAAATATAGGGGAGCGCACTGCAAAACCTACCACGGCAATTGCAGAAAAGAAGGACTTATTAATAAGACTGCCTTTTCAAGGGGACGCAGCAAGTGACCTCGTAAGAAAACGTCTGAAGACAGCGATCACTAGCGCTTTTCCCGCGGCGAACAAACGTGTATGTTTCACTAACTCTTCCCACCTACGCTTGGGAGGTAAAGACCGACTCCCGTTGCAAGCCCCATCGATGTGTATTTATTCATTCACTCGCTCCTGTGGAGCGGGATACATTGGCCGTACAACGAGACGCTTGGAAAAGAGAGTACGTAAACACATACCGGCCTGGCTAGGCAAAGGTGAGGAGAAATCGATCTCGAGTTCTATTCTCGCACATCTTGTCGATACGAATCACCGAGTCGATGCCAAAGAAGCCTTCAGATTGTCTACCGGACACCTGCAAGCTTCTCCAGAGGCCTACGCCAATTGGTGCTAGTTACAGCCCAGGCAGTGGCTATACGGCTAGCCAATCCAGTGCTATGCTGTCAGACGACTCTGACACAGGCGCTCTGTCTTCCGTGGCCAACGCCGACCCCAACGTCGCCCCAACCTCCTGATGGCAGGGTGAGTGCACAACGTACCCAACGTACTCACAGCCTATGTCCCCCCTCTCCCTCGCCCCCTTAACCCAATGGCCACGACACGCCGGCCACGCCATAGCACGCCTCGTCATGCGAGTGGCGTGGGAACGATGGATGTTAATTGTCCCCGAATCCCTTATAAGTCATGTAATTCGCATAACATAACTTCTATGTAACCGTTTTGGCCTGATGAAGAGTTACTGAAAACACGTGTTCGCAAATTTGACTTTTCAATTGTAACATGGGAATATTCGCTGAAAAGACATTCTCTTCAAACATCTATACATGTTGTTTAACGTGTCTGTAAGGGTCTGCCATTTTCTGATGATGGGTTCATGTGAGAATCAGAAACGTCAGGCGAATAAAGCCCTTGTTCCAGCGATCGTTTCTTCTTCTGATCAAAGAAACCAATTTCATAAGAAGTGCCTTATCGGTCATCCAGACTCAATAAGAACATTTGAAAGAGCAAAACGTTTCCGAACCTGTAAACGCCAGCCAAGACCTTTTGTTGTTTAAATCTAATCGCGCGATACGAAAGGTTTTCGTGGATGCAAGGTTTGCATTTGGTACTTTAGTGTCGTGTGAACCAATTTTAAAAGCACGAAAACCTGAGTGGCGATATTGTGTCTAAATAGTATCCTTAGTTATAGAAAACTACTCACGATCTGAGGAAGTGCGCTAGTGAGCATATATGTCTCAGTAGGCGCGGCGTGCATGCGAGAGACGGTTAAAGACTGCAGGAGAGATGACGTTTCAAAAGTCTTTAGAGTACACGAGATAAAACTAATTTTATAGGCTTGCGGATTCTTTCACAGGGCTAGAACCTCGTTTAGGTTCGACTCTCAGAACCGCATCGCGATATTTCCGCGCAAATTAACTGCTACGCCGTATAAATGAATGCCTCTTACTCCACTTGAGACTTAGTTTTAATGGGGCCACCTAGGTGCGCACTCTAGATTCTCTTATTCAAACCTGTTCATTTTATGAGTTTCGCCTCTGTTTCTATCTTCTTTTTCTCCAGTTCACATCTTTTGCACGTCGAATGTTTCAAGTGACGTGCTTTATCTTAGAATGTCGTCCTACTGAGGTAGAAACACGTTGGTTGTCCATTTTATATAATATCTTTTCGAAAATTTGCGAAATAAAGTGTGTTCAGTTTCCTAGAGGACTCAGTTTTCTTTTAATTATATTTCTTGGGATGCCCATCTTCCAATATCTCTTCGTATAACTGACTGAATTTGACTTTGCTGTGATCAGCTTTATTTTACAGACAAATTGATAGTCTAATCGTCTAAAGGGAGTTTTGTGCAAACTTATTTTGCTCAGCGTATTAAGTTTTTCATGACAGTAAATGCTACAATAATAATATTTTATAATGGCATGCTTCCCCTACTTCCCATTATATTATTTCACGGCAATATGAGCAGATGTCGCCACGAATGCACTCTAAAAAGCCATTATTTTCCCGTAGTCGCATGGCATACGAGTTAGTTTTAAACTCTAGTATATTTTGTTATCCGTTTGTATTACTGTAAATTAAAGTCAACTTAGGTCAAACTGCACGTTAGGCGTTTTGATTTTGTACGTCTACTCAAGCCTGCCGACGACCGGGGGAACAAACGCCGACTATTTGCTAAAATGTTCTTACTTTTCTCGAAGAACTTTCTATGTTCATACTGATATATATGTCATGTAGGCATTTCCGAAATTCGTTAAAATGCATGTTCGCGGTAGAGAGACAAAAAATAAAATTCCCCCAAACTTATGTTCAAACCCATAAATTTTACGCACAATTTTACTCCCTGCTATATATATATATGGACCAAAACTGACCATCATACCACCAAGAAATCTAATCCAAGTGCAACCCATGGGATTACAATTATCTCCACCTGCTATTCCCTTTATTTCCTGGGTATAGTGTTGTCTCAATAATCATAATTTTTTGGGTAACTATCGGGAGATGGCACCCAAAAAATCTGTTACCTAGAAATAATACCTTTAACAGTGGACTTAAACGCCTTCAGGCTATATCAGCGGTTGCAGGTCTACTTTCGCGCACTACTTGGACTTTCCGCGACGGCCTAACATGGGCTGGCCGAACAAACATCGCAAGAGGTTACATGGACGATGGCCGCTGTTACGCAACCTTCCCCATCGTTACACACGAGCACCTGAATATACGGCATACATTCGCATTATGGCAGTTTATTATAAAATAAAATCACTTTAAAATAGGATACGTCTGCACAACATGGGACAGGAACAGTTCCCAGGCATCTGTCAAAGACATGGCATTGAGCCCAAACCAAAGACGATACTGTACTTCGTCTATGTGAGCCCACACAGCTCGACAGCATACAGGACCTCCCCCATGGAGTTTCCTTTTCAGTCTACTCCAGTATGCCTCAATGGCATTAGTGTGCCGTCCGGTGGTAGAGTCCTTGAAATTCTTTGAGTGGTTAACTGAGGAATGTAGATAACCTTCTGAGGGAAGACGATTATGCGCTTTGCACTCGTCCGTTACCACTATACTGCCTTTGGCGACCCATTTCGTAATAACGGAACGGAGAGCGGGCCAACTTCGATCATTCACCTGTTCAAATAAGGCTTTCCATCGGCTAGTATCGTATATCCCGACCAGCCACCACCCATAAAACCCCTATTACCACCTGCCCCGTAAGACAGGCTGCTTTGCTTAGGCGGATTATTTTGGGTGCCATCACCCGATTGTTACTATTTTTTGTTCGCGCAATAGAACCCCATCACAGACATGTTCTTGGTCAGCTCAGGACTGAAAAGGGGACCTAAATATAATTCTTATTGAACCTGATCAACAGACTTTCGAGATCTTTGAACGACACGAGAAAAGACTAATTGATTCTGTCGGATGTGCAAGAAAGTTTTCAATTTACGTGGTGCAAGGTCAATGGCGTAGTCTACTGTAAATATACGCAGAAAGATCAAATGGATACATTCAGAAATTCATTCATCGTGGACTGGTCGAAAAGAGCTGTGCATACACACTCTGAGCCTCATTATAATTCAGATTAACGCAAATCGTTTTTTTGTCTCTAGTCACAGGAATTGTGTTCTATAGCGCAATGGAGTACGACACAGAGTTCTTTAAAGGCAGACAGCGAATCAAAAAGCAGCTAACAAAATTCATAAACATATGGCTATTTCATAGATGTAACGAAACTGATAGTCCTGAAGGGACCTGTAGATGTTGACCTCAGATTCAAGATTGGTGACGTCCACAAAAGTATCGGACGAACTCTCAAAAGCAGCACTGAGCAGGCGTGCATTACCGCGGGCATCGCCTTCGCCATCCGGAATGTCATCGTGGAACGACTGCCCTGTCTGCCTCGGGGTATCAACGGTCGCCTGATGAGCCTCCGCCGGCCTTTCCAAGGTGGCAAATACGCCACCATCTTCACCCTCCCCCCTCAATTACCAGCCCTAATGAGGCGAGGAACAAATTCTACGAGGAAGCGCACGATCTCCCGGCGACTGTGCCGAGGGCGGATAAGTTGATTGTCTTTGGTGACTTCAGCGCCCGCGTCGGCACAGCCCATGCTGCCTGGAGAGGAGTGCTGGGTCTCCATGATCTCGATGGTTTCAATGACAGTGACCTACTCCTCCTACAAATCTGCACGGAACAGCCGGCTCATCCTGACTAACACATTATTTCGCCTTCAGATGCGAGAGAAGGCCACCTGGATGCATCCTCGGTCGCGTCAGTGGCACCTGCTGGAATATGTCCTCGTTCGGAGACGAGACCAACGGGACATGCTGGGGACAAAGGCGATTCCGGATGCTGATGGGTGAGCCGATCATCGCCTCGTCATCTCCGATACGCGGATTCGCTACAGCTTCAAGGAGACCTCAGGTTAAGCTAAACATTGATTCGTCGTCTTTGTCATCTAGCCATCTACATTTCACCAGAGAGCTAGTTCAGCGACTAACCAACCTTCCAGTCGCCGCCATCCAAGGGAACGCTTCCGTTGAGAACCGATGTTGTCAACTGCGGGACACGGTCCAGTGGACGGCCCTGACTGTCCTCAGTCGCTCACATCACCAACATCAGGATTGATTTGATGACAACGACGCCACCTTCAGCAATCTGCTCAACGAGTTGAACCACCAGCCCCAAACCTACATCAACCCTGCCACCGAGGACACCAAAGCAGACTTCTACCGTAGTCACTGCTTCGTGCAACGGTGATTGCGGGAATTACAGGACGCTTAGAGGGCTCGCAAGGCCGATGAGATCCAAGGGTACGTGGACCGCAACGAATAGAAGAATTTCTTCTCCGCGATCAAGGCTATCTGCGGTCCGACAAACAAAGGAACTGCTCCTCTTCTCAGGGCCGACTGCAGTATTCTTCTCACCAAGAATACGCAAATTCTTCAGCAATGGACTGAGCACTTTGGGGGCGTCCCCAACCGCCCTTCCACCATCTCGGATGCCTTTATCACTCGTCTGCCTCAGGTGGAGACCAACTCCGACCTCCATCTCTCTTCCTCTAAACAAAAACCATCAAGGCCGTTGAACAGCTCTCCAGCGGGAATGCGACCGGATCGGACGCGATCCTTGCTGAGATCTACAAGCACGGTGGCCCCCAATTCATGGATTACCTGACGACGCACTTCCAGAAGATGTGGCGTCAAGGAGAAGTACCACAGGAGTTCAGGGACGCCACAATCATGCACCTCTATACGCGGAAAGGAAACCGCCAAATCTGCAACAACCATCGAGGCATTTCCCTGCTGAACATCGCTGAGGAGATCCTTGCTCACATTTTACCCAACCACCTAAACAACCATTAGAAACAAGGTCTCCTACCGGAAAGCCAGTGCAACTTCCGCCGTCATCGGGGCGCCATCGACATGGGCTGCGCTTTCCGCCAGCTGCAAAGGAAGAGTCAGGAGAGGCGGATCTAACTCTACCTACATTCGTGAACCTGATGAAAGCCCTCAATGCGGTGAATAGTGAAGAACTGTTGAAAATCATGCAGAAATTCGACTGTCTCGAACTATTCACTAGGATGGTCCGTCAGCTCCACGGTGGCATGATGGCGCAGGTCACGAACAACGGATTTGTCTCAGAGGCATTCGCACTGACGAACAGAGTGAAGCAAGGCTGCGTTCTCACGCCTATCCTCTTCAGTCTCATGTTCACTGCCATGTTTCTGGACCCCTACCGTGACGAACGCCCCAAGATCCGCGTCGCCTACAGAGCGGACGGTCAACTGCTCAACCACAACAGGATGCACTTTCAGACGCGTGTTTCCAAAACTACCGTCCACAAACATCTCTATGCCGATGACTGCGCCCCCAATGCAACTACTAAAGGAGAAGTACAAGAGAGCATGAATATCTTCGCCGCCGCTTGCGAGAACTTCGATCTGATCATCAACACGGAGAAGACAGTGGTCATGCACCAACCGCCACCCAACACTGTCCATAATGCACCGCAAATCACCGTGAACGGAACCTAACTGCAAATGGTGGACAACTTTGTGTATCTGGGCAGCATCCTCTCTCGCAGCACCAAGATTGATGACGAAGTGGCTCGCTGGTTTTAAAGGCCAACCAACCATTTAGTCGTCTCCAAAACACGGTCTGTAATCATAACCATCTTCAACTCAACCCAAAACGGAAGATGTACATGATCGCCATTCTACCGACGTTGCTGTATGGAGCAAGGACTTGGACGGTGTACATGATGTAGACACGCAGACTCAACCACTTCCACCTCAGCTGTCTTCGTCGGATACCGGAGCTGAGGTGGCAGGACCGAATTCCAGACACGGACGTACTGGAGCTGACGCGGATCCTCAGAATTTACGCTATGCTGAGACAACTATACCTATGCTGGAACATCCACCTCGTATCGATGGACGACGAGAGGCTACCCAAACGACTCTTCTATGGCGATGTCGCGACGGGTTCATGCGGATAAGGAGGTCAGGTCCAGCGCTACATAGGACACACTGAAAAATTTCTAAAAAGCCCGAATATCAAATCGGCAAACTGGGAGAGCTCTGCCGGGACCGGCCTACGTGGAGGAGAACAGTAAAACAGGCGCAGCAATCCTCGAAGCCAAGTGCATCACCGCCGCCAAGCCAAACGCGAGACACGCTAATGTCAACTGCTGTCGTCGCCGCCTCACAAGGTCAACGTGCAACCGTCCCCAACGTGCCTACGATGTCAGTGGACATTCCGTATGCCAACTGGATTTGTTGGACAGCTCCAGACCAACTGCATCACTCGGACTCCACCAAACGTCGTCTCTCCGCCCACCTCAACCTCGCCTACCACGCCGTCAACAAACACCGACCGCCCTCCCGAATAACCACCACCATCTTCCTCCTCCTCCTCCTCCTCCTCCTCCATTGCCTGACCGTCTGCCGCTGTGGCGCCTGTTATGCCCATCAACACTACATACAATCCTGACACACCAACAAACGCCGACACCACCACCGTCAACACCAGTGATGGGGACCTGATCTATACCTGTTATCGTTGCGATCACACCTTCACTGCACACATCGGCCTGGTCGGTCACTTGCGAATCCATCGCACAGAAATTGTCGAACTAGTGCCTGGAGCACAACCAACACCCATCGCATCTGCCTCCACTGTCCACACTGCCCTCACACATTTATGCACCACATGGGACTATTCGCCCACATACGTATTCACGAGAGCGGAATTGACCGCAGCCACGACACACCTAGCACATCCAACATATCTACAACGCCTAGACCCGCCCACACTCCGCCGTCCAGCGCGCACACTGCCACCAGCTCCACCATCTCCACCACCAAAGCCGATACTGACACCACCGTCTTCTCATGTTCACACTGTCCCCATACATTCACCTCGCGCATTGGCCTGGTCGGCCACTTGCGAATCCATCGCACAGGGACTGGCGAATCAGTTTCTGGAACACCATCCTACACTCTCCGTATCCGCCCTTCACTGTCCACACTGCACTCGCACATTTATTCACCGCATGGGTTTATTAAGCCACATGCGTGTGCATGACAACCTGCTGTAGACAATCGTCAACTGCAACACACCACCACATCGTCCCTCACCACAATCGCACCGCACACCAATATCACCTACTGCAAGCACCCAACTGCCACCTCCCACGCAAGTGGGAAGTGTGATTCTCGGTTCCGTCTCCATGCGGCTCCCATGCTGCATCTTTGGTCGGAATGTGAGACGAAGACGGTTAGTTGAGCAGCGCGACTCAGAAAGCCGACTGACGCCCCAGCTCAGTCCACGCAGTCTGCCCAGTTGTTTGTTGTATGGAGCGGTGGACTGGTGGGCTGAGAGCAAAGCTGTCACGGTCCCTTCTCAAGCGATCTGTGACACTCTCATGCATGTGAGGAGAGAGTTTGGGTTT